TAGAAAGAAATATGGATATGCTTACTTTTAATTTGCAAATTCTGACATTTATTACTGGACCATGCTGCTTTGCCTAAGTGTCGAGAAACAAATAGCCCGGCTCTCACGCCAAAATTTGAACCGACATATTGTTTTATCTCCCACTTTAAATTTTATAACTTGCATTGAAAACAACAACAATTTTACTGATCCCGTGCCCGAGACACTCTACATAACGTGGACGCTACTGTACCCTGTTAAGTTGCTTGACAAATAACTGTGGGTTGTCTGTCCAAAAGACTTGTATTTAATGAAGCATGATCATGAAGTACTAATTTTTGAATACACCAATTTGAAGGTAAGACTCTCGAGGACAAACTACTATGTGCTTATTAACAGGCGCAACATAAATTGAAATTTTGATTATATAATAGCAGATATATTTAGAATTTTGAAGCACCAGAATTTGCAGTTGTGTATGACATAAAATCTCTTCATTAATAGATATTTGAAGATGATGCTTTATCCAATCATACCAAATAATTCTTCGCTAAAATATTTCTTCTAACATTGACTAATTAACTTTTATATTACTAAGAAGTTCTATGTGCCCTTTCACAAATTCGACACAATTCGGGACTTTACAGTTTTTGGGCGACTGGACAAAATGTCTCACATCCTTAGTTGTATAATTCTCGATAAATCATATCGTATCCTTAATATAAAATCTTACAATTCATACCCAATATATATCCATTGGTTACAAAAATTATTAAATCGTAGTTTTCCATAGAGGCATGTGTTATATCCATAGATAATGTGTCCATAGAAATAACATTTTTTCTGTTAACTTACTTATATCTGATTTTAAACTTTATATCCCAGTTTTTCATAATCCCTTTAAATATTGGAATAAAAATATAATTTTACTTATAGTAAAAACGAGGAATTTTTTTAGTGTATATATATAGTATTCAATGAACTTTAATTATGTTTACTTGTTCAAAAATTATTTTTATAATTAGAATTGAACTGGGTTAACCAAGGCTTCCCATAAGTACCACAGCTTAAGTGCCAAGGGAGTAGAATAAAAAATAATCAAATTAAAAATATTTTGCTATTTCTGAAGTATGCTTGCCATTGTGTACGAGGGAGGACTTGTTTAATAAAATAAACAAAATACAGTGATTGGTTTTTCGTGAAAATTTTGTTGCAATCCACACAACTAACAGAAAATGCAGAAAAAAAAAACAAAACATTTTTTAGAGTATACATCTCAATCACAACCTTGAAGAAAATTCAGGAAAAATATTTTCCAAAATATTTTTAATAGTTCTGCGCTTACCTCTTGGGTCAATGTGAAATGGTAAAAAGGTTCAAAATTATTAAATAACATTGCTTGCAGAACATTGTTGAAGGATATAGGATTTTGAGTTCAAAATTTATAGTAAACAATTTTAACTAAATTTTTGTTAGGAATTTATTGTAGTATTTTATAATATTTGAAGGTAACAAAAAATTTTTAATTGGAGTGTATTATTCATTTAGCATATATATAAATAGTTACTAATGTGTCTTATTAAAAGAAACAATGGGTCAAAAAGATTTATTGCGATATCCATAGAGAGAATAGGCTACGCTAACCCAGTCAATATAAGACCATCAACAAACTTAGTATCTCTTCATTCGAAATTTTAAACTGCATTCCGTTCAATGTAATCCGTATGAGAGTATAGAACTCGTCTCTAGGCAATCACAACAAACGTTTATTTAAATGGACTGCAAATTCATTCTGCATTTCCGCGTCTGTATCCTTTAATCAGGTTATAGAAGAGTTATAAGTAACAGAAGCATGACCAATTAAAAAGCCAGTAGTTAATCTGAATTTAGATCTATTCAGATTGAGAAATTTGTTAACTTTTTTGTTTTTAACTCATTGCATTACCTTACCTCTTTAGAATTAAGCCAGACCATCTCCAACATTTTATAGTCTATGTTTCTGAATACTGTTGGAGTCTATCAGGTAAGGTCTGTGAAGTTACACCTTCTTCTAAATCCTAAATATGATTCGCACATCTTAACAAATAGGTAATAATATATTACAAAAAGCTTTCGGTCCCATAATGGTAGTTAGCACACCATCCGTTATAACTTTGCCAATGTTTCGCTACCATTGAATTCTCTTTACCCAGATATCCAAAAGAGTGTGTTGCATTATACAAGGTAGACAACTTAGATATAAGTAGATATATGCATAATATATATAAAAGAAAGTCCGAAAATATTTACATTTATTAAAGTAATTAAATTGTACATTGTGAATGTCACTCATCGCTTCACATGATTGTTCTTAAATATGTGTATTCATTAACACAAGAAAAATTTAAAGTGCTTATTAATAGCATTAAAAAGAATAAAAAAAAATTATTTTACAAAGTGTCTCTGGCATGTATCTACTTACATATCTTCAATTTAAATTGTTTTTAAATATGTGTATTCAATAACATAAGAAAGATTTAAAGTGCTTATTAATAGCATTAAAAAAATTATTTTACAAAATTTCGCTGGGACGTGTCTGCATACATATGTTATGTTATCTTTAATATAAATTTTATATAAAAATTTTAAAGATTTCTGTACAAAACCGCTATAATCACATTTTAATGTTTAAAAATGAATGCGAATAAAAATTTAATCATGCACTTGTTATTTTTTTTTCATTATCCTGTAAGTATTTTAAAACAAACAAATCATTAAAAATTTAAAAAATTGCTCATACAGCAGCTAAAAATTTCTTACAGCAATTAGTGCTTAAGTGTGAACGCAACTCTGTAGATGCATTTGTAAATCTGTTTGTGCAGATACGTGTGTTTGCATATGTTTGTATACTTGAACTTAAGCTCTAATTGCAATCTCATTTGTTTATGTTTGTGCATATCTGCTTGTTTACTTCTGTAAGCAACCCTTTTTCAACACTTCTCTTAAAGCGTATCTAAAGTATATCCTTGTACACATGCACATTATAAATGCCAAGAATCCTTGTTTTCGCGTGTGACTTACCCGGTACACTTGAAAAGTGCACCTAAGCACGTGCAAATCACAAAACGACTTAAGGGCAAAATTTAATGAAATGTATTTGATGTTTTACCTTTTTCATGCTTGAATTTGTTAATGATTTTTGTGTTTGCATACACTTAGTGACATACTGACAGACGTTAAAATATACAAAAATTTGTAGATAGATACTTGTATCCTTACAATATATGCCAGAAATATCAACGTGAATAGGTACAATGTGGCACACTTTGTTTTTTATTAATGTGATTGGTTATTTTATACTAAGAATCATTTAAAATGTTATTACAATGAGTTTCTACAACTATTTATTCGTTTTAAAAGCTGATTTAAGCATTTAAACTAATTTTGTTCATGTTTTTTTCAGAAATGTTCATGCCTAAAGAGACATTTATTTACCAATTGTTGCTTATATTTTGAATTTTTTTTTCTTATTCCCTCATATCACTGCGTCACACATTTATTTGAACAGACTTGAAAAACGCAGGCGTTGAAAAACTGTTGAACAATAAACAATTTGCAACAATAACGATGTTGTTTTGTTTAATAAGGGTTTATGCGTTAATAATTAACGCATAATTAATTAATTAATTAATAAAAATTTAAAATTTATAAACTACTTATTCCTTTCCAATATAATTTTTTGTGAAAAGAGCTTGTCCACAAGAAAGTAAATAAGATTATTAATTAAAACATTGTCTATATCATTATAATTACTTTCATAAATAATTTTTTAAAAAGAGGTTTTTCGAACAGTAGTAAACTACAACAACAAAAATTTTATTTTTTTTTTTATATTATTTTAATTAATCGAATTTTTGGCTGACCATACAGCTGTTTCGAGTATTGTCAAATACCCATCATCAGTGGGTATTTTTAAAATTTTATTCTCTTCTTTCTATAATTTATTTTTTTAACATAAATGTGTTGAGTTCAAAAAAAGTTAAGCGTGTGTTTGATATATATAATACAGGATGAAAGGAAAATATTAAAAAAAAATGTAAGAAAGATAGATAAGTATATGCAAATTTAAATAAAATGAATATTTCAAAAAAAAAATTTTGAGATTAATGAGGTTAACTGCAAATGATTAAAGAATTTTTTTTAAATTTAGCTATAAATTATTATAAACTTAATAATTTAGTTTTCATGGTTACAACTATAGCTACGAAATGTTTTTGCAGTACCATAAAAAAATCGCTAAAAACTCTTCTAATCATTGAGGTATAGAAGATTTAGTTATGTGTGTACTTTTATACACTTTATATATAATTACACTCTTTTATTATCTTAACCTCATTTTAAGGTAATATGTTAGTATGTTATTAATATAAAATCCATACTTTCGTATTTATATATTGATTTATAGCAGTGATTTTTATTTATCTAATTATACATATATACTAGTACTAATTACCTTATTAGAGGCAAAAACTTAAATTTTCTATTAAATACCATATATATTGCTGTCACAAACTATAATAATAATTTTATAATGTGTTTTAAAAAAAAAAATATTAGTTTAGTGTTAAAATAAAGTATTTAATTATGCGCACACACATATATTCAATCATAACATTTATTATTTATTATTATCAAATAAAGGCATAAAATAATTACTTACATAAATATTAAAATTTACTGTTCTTATTTATTAAGAAAAGATGTTTTTAATTTTTAATAAATATATATTTTTTATTAAATAAAAGTAATTTAAAAATTAAGTACATATTTTTTCAATAGTCTCTTTGCACATACATTGCATTTAAAACTTTTAATCGATTTTAAAGCAAAGCACTAAAAATTTTAATTAATACAATAAATTTTATATAAATCACATTGAAAGCAAATATCGCAATTAGAAAAAATAACATAAAAAAATTATAAAATATAATGCTGCGTGTCTTTTTTTAATACTTTCAAATATTGGTTTATATTACTTCAATATTAAGATATAATAGTATGTATATGGTGGTTTACAAATTTTCAAAATATTTATATACATATACGAGGTTAACTATAAAGATCATAGATTTCATTTTTTTCCTTTTAGAATATATACTCTTTGGTGTTTTTATTTTCGTCTTAGTTTTAAAAAAATATGTTGCCATTTGCATAAAAACTCAGTGCCCTCTTCCTATATACTTATATATACATACATATATATATATTATATAAATGTATATACATGCTAATTAATCACTACACCATTTATTTCAAATTATCTAAAGTAACATATCGTCATCGCTGTCTGTAAATTCACCATTTGGTTCCAATAGTAAATTAGCTTCCTCATTCATTCGTACCTATGAAATTGTAATGAAGAGAAAATATTAATAATATTTTAAAAATGTATGAGATAATAAAAAATTTAAAATCAAAATTAAAAAACAAAAAACTTACTCTTGAATATCTTACCGCAGAGGTGCTGCGTCTAAATAGACTTTTGATACTATTTCGACGTTCTGGTGAAAAGGCTAAAACACCAATGACGGCAACAAAGAAGGTTACCGATAATATGCCAGCCAATATTGCTACAAAAATATTTAAGAAAAAATATTAGTATGTAATTAATAATTATATGAACTAAATTTATTAAAAAAAATTTGAAAAAAAATTTTAATAAAGAATTTAAAACAAGAATTTATAAAAAAATTTAATAAAAAGAAATTTTAAATAAAACAGTATTTAAAGAAGAAAATATTTGAATAAGAAAATATATCAAAAAAACCAAATTTTTTTTAAGAAAAAACATTTAAGAACCAAATTAGTTTATAATTAGAAAATTTATGAAATTAAAATTAAATTTAAAAAGAAATGAATAAAAGAAAATTTGAATTAAAAAATAGGAATAAAAGAAATTTAAATAAAAAAAAAATGAAAACAACATAAAAAAAATTTTTTTTAAATAAAAAAGTATAATTAAAAAAATATGAATTTAATTAAAAATTAAAAAAAATTAATATATAATAAATAAATATATGAATTAAAAATTAAAACATTTTAATTAGAAAAAAATTGAAATAAAAACTATTTTAAATAAAAAATTTTGAAATAAGAAAATATATAAATTTATATAATTTCTTTAAATGAAATAAAATTAAAAATTATTTAAATTAAATTTATAATAATGAATAACATAACATAACATAACTTTGTATTTTTAATAAAATAAAACTAATAAACTAAATGTCTAGTATATAATTTTATTTTTTTACCCCCAATAGAGCCAGTTTTTTCTGCAGGATGTTCACCAGTATCAGCACTAGCTTTAGTTGAATTATCATTGCCTGATTTTGTATTAATTAGTTTAGTTGACGGAATACTGTCTGATGCTGAAAGTCCCAAGAAATTGCAAATATCCGGTGTGTGTTGTACATATACCATATTGCAGTCAGTATTCTGTAAATATAAAAGCAATTTTTATTAATATTTGTTATTATATTTTTAGTTAAGCAATTTAATAATAAAATTTTAAATTTCATTATTCACTAAATTTTCTAGTGCAACAATTTCAACAGATACTCAAATATGTAACAACCCTGCCGCAATTGTGCAAGAGCGCAAATATTTAAATGCGGTTAGTAACCACCAACCTTGCAATAAAAATTGCAAAATGCACATATCCACAAACAAACATTAATAAACAAATAATTATGTGTATTATGCACACATAATACAATAATCAAAGCAAAATTACCAGAATCTATATATTTTACTCGATAATTGTATTATTACAGGCAAATACCATCGTCGTTACATGCATATTTACATGCAAACAAACATTTGCTGTAATTATCATCAAATCATTTTGCGCATATGTGCGGAGGGCATAAATTCAAATATTGCCTCCATAGTCTATAGATGTGCCCGAGTTATAATTATATTGCAAATTGTAAATTGCAAATTATAGAAAAGCAATTAAAATTGTTGCTATCATAGCAGAAGTAGGTAACTCATACGCCTGTCTTACCTTAAGTGCAGGGCACACATAACTATACACACGTTTATTGTGTTGACATAAAGTTTGGCATATTGTATTACACAAAATGTTATCCAAGACAAATTTCAATTTAATACAAAACTAATAATTACAGTATAACATCACATATTCATACAAAAACAACAACAACGACAACCACAAATTCAATACCATTGCTTTCCCTAACTCGCTATATATGTAAACACATATAATGTGACATTAGAGACAAATAGACAGATACTGTTTAGCCGGTTTTTAAAATAGTGTTGGATAATTAAAAAATAATTTTAGATAGCAAAACTACAACTAAAGTTTAGTAATATATGTTATATATTTTAATTTTCTTTTAAGGATAATGTAATAGTAGACATCGATTCTGAACAGAACTATGGTAGAAATTTAGAGCTTTTGCTTTACTAATTAAGTTTCTTCAAATTAAAATGAAAGAAAAGTAGAAGTGGTGCACATATTCGGATATTTCAAATTTTTCGAATACTCTGAACATACACATATGTTCGAATAGTCCGATAATATGCGATATAAAATAAATAAATTCGAGTCTGGAGTAATTATATATAATATATTCACATATAAATTTTTGTAATTCAATTTTAATTAATAAATCATATAAACATGTAAAATATTTGCTTATACAAAAAACAAATCAGCAAAAAAAATGTACTTTTAATGCCATTAAAGTCTAAAAACCTGAATGAATGTGAACCTGTTCATTTAGGAGTCAGAAACGCCTTGGAAATTACTGTCGACTTAACAAAAAAAAAAATAATAAAACAATATAATAAAATAAGAACTTACAACTGTAAAACATTACATCCCATAAACATATTATTTCGTTTTTTTAGATATTTCAGAAAGGCAACGACCCTTGTGACGCCCATTTTTTGCTATACATCGTCATGGACTACTGTTAAAAGGTGTTGCAAAATGTTTTCTGAGGTAAAACGGTTAACGTTCTTTGTCTGTTAGACATTTACTTGAGTGCTGCTTGTATACCATACTAATGCCAGCACTTACTTCTATGCTATAAACATTGTAACACTTACTAGCTAAATTCTAAGGCGTTAAAATTTAATGTAATTACATTATATTAAATACGTTATGTTAGGTTAGGAATGAGCACAAAGCATTCTTAATGGTCTGCTATTGTACATGTAGATTTACTAAAAGCAGTTGAATTGGTTTATTTAAAAATGTTAAAAATATTTAAATGTAGATATATAAAAAAAAAGGAAATTTGTTTAATTTTTTAAATCAAATATTTGGAAGAAGTTGAAATTAGAAAACTGTCAACAAATGATGTACATTGAACATAGTCTACGAAGTAGTCCAAAATATTTGTATTAAAATATTTTTTTAAACATATAATCAAATATTTTATTTTTAATTAAATATTTTATTTACTTATTTATAATTTGAGTTGGTGAATAACCGACCTTAAGCCTACATAAATTTAATTTTATTGGAATATAAATAAAGTGTTTGCATTATATAATTCAATTGATTTTTAAATTAATTTTTTTATAATAAAAAACATTCATACATATTTTAAGCTAAATTTATTATATTGAATCACTTATTTTATTATTTCATTTTTTTTAATTATTTATTAAATGTTTTCTTTATTTATTTATTAATTTTTTGTTTATTCATTCATTTATTTTTTCATTTTTTTCTTTATTCATTTATTTTTTTCTTTATTCATTTATTTATTTGTTTTTATTCATTTATTTATTTATTTTCTTTATTCATTTATTTATTTTTTTTTTCTTTATTCATTTATTTATTTTTTTTTCTTTATTTATTTTTTTTCTTTATTCATTTATTTATTTTTTTTTTTTTGTTTATACATTATTTATTTCTTTATTCATTTATTTATTTATTTTTTTTATTCATTTATTTATTTATTTTTTTCTTTATTCATTTATTATTTATTTTTTTCTTTATTCCTTTATTTATTTATTTTTTCTTTATTCATTTATTTATTTATTTTTTTCTTTATTCATTTATTTATTTTTTTTTTTTATTCATTTATTTATTTATTCTTTATTTCTTTAAGGATATTTTTTTCATTATTTATATATATTTATTTATTTAATTTTTTTTTAAAACATTTTTTGTTTCACAAAATTATTTTAATACAATTTACTATGTATTCTTTAAAATTTTCTTTTATATTTTCTCCCGCTTTGTTTACTGCCCAAACAATTAAAAATTAATTTTTTCCCTTTATTATTTATTTTTATTTATATATACACATATATATAAATTTTATTAAATTTTTTAATTACATTTTAGCACATAAAGCAACGTATTTTCTCACCTGTAATAACATTATAAAAATAAAATTCAATCAAAAATAAAAAGCACATCAAACACAAACACACGCACATATACATGCCATAACCCAACAGTATGTACTTAACACGATTTTACCGCTTTTTTATGTAATTCAATAGTTTCTTGTGTGCTTAGTATGAAAAGCAACTACATGGTCAAATGCTCAATGTTAGCTTGTGCTTCTACTGGTGCTCGTTCTGCTGTTGCTGTTGTTGTTGCTGCTGCTTGTGATGCTGCCATAATAAAAGTACACAATGAACAATTTTCTTCTACAATTTTATGTAGAAAATGCACCAACACACATGCAATTGTACGTATTGCAGCACAATAATGGCTACTACAGTTGGCGTTGGCAGTAGCAAGCAAACGTTATCCTTTTTATGTTTCTTCACTATTTAAATCATTCAAGTGAATGAACTTTTACACATCATTTTTATTTTATTATAAATATATACAAATACATATTTACAAACACACCATAAAATGGGTATATGTATATGTAAGTGTTCTTTTTTTGGACTGTAATGTTAATAAACGTGCTATATGTCTGGAATATAAATACGTGCTCCTGTTATTGTATTTGTTGTATTACGGATATTTTTTTTTTGTGCAGAAACGTTGGGAGTGCACATTTTGCTATTACACTTTTGTGTGCAATTTAAGCAATAACAATAGCAACAGCTTTCATTCCACCATGCAGCACTTTTCAAGCTATAAAATTAAATTTTAAAAATAAATTGACATTTTTATAATACAAACCGTGTTATTGTTTAATAATGAAAATATGTTGCTATTTTATGCTCACATATCAGATTTTATAGTTCATAACGAAAGTGTTAAAGTAAGATAAGATAAGGTAAGACGACGCATGCACATTTCTTTAAGCTTTTTAACAAAAACTAGAAATTTTTCTAGGTTAATCCTTACAATTAAGTTAGGTACTTTTAAGTGAAAAACTTGAAAATTTAAATAAAAATTTAAAATATATACATAAAATTCATTTAAATATGTAGACAAATGTCATAAATATTTATAGTTATAGTTTTGTCATGGAAATGGTAACAATTATAATAAAAAAATAACAATTGTATTAATAAAAAAAAATTATAATAACAACAAAATAACAATTATAATAATAAAAAAATAACAATTATAATAATAAATAAAAAAACAACAATTATAATTGTTCCCGGAAAATGCCGGTTCCCCGGAAAATGAGTACCCCCACACCTACAGACCTTGTCCCAACAACTTTATTAATATTAGTTCAGGTTAGAGTCCCTATTAATCATTTAAGACATCCATGGCTCAACTATTGCTTAAGGTGGCTATCATTGCACTTCGACTTGGTGTCTAAACCATATTTTAATTTTTTATTTACAAAAAAAAAAGTTTTTAATAATTTTATAATAATTTTTTATTAATATTTTATTTCTTCAATTCAATTTCCCTCCTATACATAGCTTTTTATTGCTGATGTTCACAAATTTCATAATAAAAAAAATCTGTAAAAAAGTTTACTTGGTTTTGCTTTGACAAAATTTATAATGAAAACGGAAAAAAATAGAGTCAGCGTTTATGTCAACAACAGTTGTAAAAAACATCTGCAAACTTTTAATTGAATTTCATTTAAATTAAGTTTTTTTTTATTTTTTTTACAGCATTTGTTTTATTTTAAACTCAATTTAATTATAAGCCGCAAGTCTAAGCTGCTGCTCCGTAAAGTCATTTAAAACTTTTAATTTGTTGTGCTTCTTCTTCGACGGCTCAAAAATTTATTCCTAACATTTTAATATCATTAAGTCAATTTATTTAGAACAATTGTCTAACGACTTTGAAAATAAATTAAATAAATAAACACTTCAAAATACTGTGAATGACATTTTATTCAATATTTTTCTCTGTCACTTTTGTTTGTTTATTTATTTTAACTGCCTTTCAAAATCTATACAAAAAAAAATAAATCATTGAGAAAAGATATTGGGCGAAATAAAATTAGAAAATTGGTAACCAATAGAAAAAAGCACATGATATGAAAAATATAAGAATAAAATAATATTAAAATAATAAAAATTATTTTATAAATCGTAAAAA